GTAGATGAGTACTACTTTATTAACTAATAAAGTAATTATAAAATAACAAACCACAATGGGTCTAGAAATTCTCCCTTTTTGACGATCTTTTTGAAAAGGCTCCAGATTAAACCGCATAGCAATTAAGTATGTAAGCATAAAATGTTAGAATATAAGGAGAAAACCGAATTTGAAAATGAAACGTTTGGATTAGGGTCGTGGATTACTTGAGGAAACTGCATGGGATTAGTAGAAGAAAGAGATGAAGTATATAAGTGGGTTTTGAGACGACATGTCTTCTTATGTTAACCTTTTCTTGTACGTTCAAAAAAACAAAAACAAAAAATTTCTTGTAGGCCAAACGGAAGACAAAGGAAGTCCAAAACGGAATATATTCTTCTTTTTGGACATAAAACTGAGGATTCACGTCTACAATTTTCTTGATGAATTATGTTTACTCTATATTCCATTCCATTATTATACTAATTTTGGTATACTGAAGAAACCATTAAACAAGAATTTTTTTCTTTGTTTCAAATAAATTCAGTATATAAGGACTTAACAGAAAAGATGTATATAATAATTTATAACTTACTTTGTAAAATGAAAAAACCACTGTGATATAATAAATCGATAAAATACAGAATTATCTTGAAGAGAGAAATTGGGAGAACCATGAAGGAAAATAGAGATAGTAGAAGCATAACTCCATATTTCTATAAAACAATAATCATTTTTTTTTTGTTGAGAAAGTCTATAAAACAATTCATTCTCTCAATTTTTATCGGTATATTCTAAAAACAGAGTATACTAATTAGTCTGTTTAGATATAGGTTTTCCGTTTATTTGTGAGTTTTTAAAAATTATTAAAATCTAATTGAAAATTTTAAAATGAAACAACGATGTATATATATACTAGATAGTTACCCGCGTTATACACGGAATAATGTGATACGCGAGTAAAATCAATATAGTTTTAGTTTAGAAAATCATCTGTAATTATTGGAAAAATTATTATTATACGGAATCAAAAACTCGTTTATATATATGAGTTTTACAATTATTTTGTATAGAAATGTTTTCCATCCGTGAAATAATCGAAAACAACAAATTTTTAGTCAATATATGTCACTTATTAATAAAATATATTTATTTAATATCATAATCTTCAAAAATACGGTTTATAAATCAAATAAACAAAATAAAAGATTGCAAATATGAATTGAATTTTATAGGTTTAAGGTAATTAGAAGAGTAAGTGAATATTAATAGTAATTTTTTTTTATTTTCGTTTCTAAAAAACAAATCAAAAAAATTATTTTCTAATGATGTTTGGTTGGAAGGATTGTGTAATTGTGTAGTGTTTGGATAATAGGATAGTAGAGAATTAATAAAATTATGGAGTGTTTGAATAATAGTATAGTAGAGAATTAATAATAGGATTTAATTTTTAATTAAAATTTTTAAAAAATTGAGAGTTTGACACCTAAACAAATTAATCCAAAAATATTCTCTTTTAATATATAAAAGATATATATGTGTTACTTCTATATAGTGATAAATTGAAAAAGGTATACAATTTTGCATATATGATACTTACTATATGTACATATATTTGTGAAACAAATTTTTCATCTCTAAATGATCTAATACTTATTAGAAACAGAGAGAATACATCTAGTGCAAACTTCTAGTGAGCGTGTCTATTTATATTAGGCCTGGATACGGATCGGATATCCGGAAAAAATGCAGTATTTATGATTCGATTTTTTTTTATGGATACCTAATTTCCGATTTGCTTTGCTTCGGAAAATTTCGAATATCCGGGATTACGGATATTCAGATTTTTTTTGAATATTTGTGGATATCTGAATCTTCACGGATATCTGTTTAAACAAAAAAAATTAAAAACACCATAATCTTTTTTTTTAAACAAAAGTTTTAATATAAGACTTAAACTAATTAATGAATAAATATATGAATTGAGTCTAATTTTATTTGATAGAATT